GGCTCTGGGCGCCGCCCCCAGGGTTGAGGCCGGGGATCCGGCAGCGCGTGGCCCCGGGGTTTGGCGTGGAGGCGCGGGGTTCGGGGTGCGTCATCTGCGAGCAGGCACCTCCGCCGGCAGGTTGGGTTTCCCAAAGTGCCCCTTTGTTTTGCCCCTCCCCAGTCCGGTCTCCTCCCCTTTGCCCTCACCACCCCTCCCCCAGCCTTCAGGCCTCTGGCCTCTGCCCCTCTCGGTGCCCCCTGACCCGGGGCCCTCTCCCTGGGCCCTCAAATCCTAGGGCTCCGGGGAGGTTGGGAGGGGCAGCTGGCGAAGAGGTCCTTGGGCGCAGCAGCGGGTGACTCAGGACAGAGGGATGGGCAGGGCCGCTGGTCGGGGCACTCTCCCAGGGGCTTGTACCCTGGTTCTGAGAGGAGGCGGGGCTTTCTGGGGGGAGGGTTCCTTAGGACCACTGGTAGGGAGGGTGGGCTCTTCCCTGCTCCCAGGACTTCCTACCTGAGTCTAGGCAGCTGTGAGGGGACCCCCTGCAAACCTGTAGTGCTGGCTCCCTGCACCAGAAAGTAGCCTGAAACTTTCTCCAGTTCTTGCTTCTCTCTCTCTCTCTCTCTCTCTCTCTGTGTGTGTGTGTGTGTGCTGGGGCACACCCCTGCGGATGCCACGGCTGAGGGGGGACACCCTCACTGCCCCACTAGGTGGACATTCTGGCCTGGCTGTGGCAGGACCTGGGTCTGGTGTTTGCCGTGGGAGGCCCCGGGGAGCAGAGTCAGCCAGCCCAGCACACACAGGCTGCTCTGTTCTGAGTCCAGAGAGAGTGAATGGGTGGGGGGCAGCTCCCTGTGGAGACTGAATCCGGCCAGGGCCCCAGTTCCTGGATGGCCGGCTGGGACAGCTTCGGCTTGCCTGAAGCTCTGCCCACTTTTCTCTCTGGTTGGCAAGTGGGACAGACACAGGAGAAGTCAGGTGGGCAACTGGGGCCGCTCCTTGTCATGTGCCCAGGACCCCTCTGCTCCCTGTCCCCTCCCCCTGCCAGTGGCAGGGCAGAAGCCCACCCACACCAAGCTTCTTTATAGCCGCTCTAGCCATTTCAGGTGGACTTCATTTGTTCAGGTGGACTTCATTCAACTGAGAATTAGAGATCCCCCCCTCCCCAATCCACTGCTGTGGCATAGTTTCCACGGGGGGTGTGGGTAGAGGGGAGGGATGACCCCCCCTGTGGGTCTCCAAGGCTTTCTTTATGGGAGCCGACTGTCACATCTTTCTCCACAGAGCAGCTGGTGGGACCAAACAACCACCTTGCCATTCCCAGTGGGGTGCCTTAGCCAGTGTACCACCAGGGCATCTTTACACATCTCAGCACCCTGGAAAAGCCATCAGCCCCCTGAGGAGGAGTTCTGTCAATGCCTGCAGACAGGTCTTGTCCCTGAGTCATGACCCAGTGGGAGGGGTTGCCAGGGTCCTGGCAGCCCTGGAGGATGGAGGGACAGTGCCAGACTGGGAAGGTGGCCCAGGCGGAGTTCTAAAAACCGAGTGGGCATTCTCCCTGCGGCCAGCAGACACACTGCCTCCTGGGCTCAGCTGTGCCCCTTGGACCTTCTGTCTGCTCAGCAGGAAGGGTTCCCTTCTAGGGGCTGTGAGTTGTGAGTCTTGCCGGGGACAGTTGAGACTGTTCAGAAAGGCAGGGGAGTGGCTCTGGGCCGCTGTGTCCTGGGGGCCCTAGGGGTGGTGGCTTGGTCATTGGAATTTGCCTTGCCCTGCTCTGCAGTCAGGAGAACCTTGTTATAATTGGCTGGTCACCTGTCTCCTCCCCTCCCCAACCTCATTACAGGGCCTCCGTTCCCTGGAGGCCTGGACAGGGTGCTGTGGGATGGGAGGAATGGAATCTACTGGACTTGGCTGGAAGGCTGACTAATGGTGGGGGTAGGGGCTCCCTCCTAGGAGGGAATGGGGTTTAATTCACTTGCTGGAACTTCCTGGCCAAGGCACTACTCAAGCTTCCCGGTACCTGCCTGTTCTTCCAGCTCAGGCAATGTTGGGGTGTGGGCAATGTTGGGCCCCCTCAGCCTTGGCCTGGTGCCAATATCTCCGGCCTGGACAGGAGCCCTTGCTGCTCAACTGCAGTCTGGGGAGTGGGGACCTCTGTCCACTACCACCACCCTCGCCTGCCACCTAATCCCTGCCTGGATTGGGTGACCCGCCTGCCTGGCATTCTCTGGGCTGGAATCTGCTGCTTCTGACAGCAGCTGCTATATCGGGGGAGCCGGGCACCGCCCTGGAGGGCCAAGCCCCTGGGCTCACCCCTGCTTTGCTCTGGGCAGCTTATAGGCACAGTCCCAGTGGCAGAGAGGAAAGACGGACGTCTGAGTCCCTGATCCGATCTTTAGACTTCAGGTATGTGTTGTGGGGGTGTGTGTTGTGGGGGTGCGGAGGGGAAGGGCAGACCCAGGGCTAGGGAAGGAGCTTCGCAAATGGCTCCTGTGCCCCTACCCTGGCCCCTTGTGGGGACCTCCAGCCCCCTGCCTGCTCAGTCTTCTCTTGGATGGTTTTCGAGTTGGTGGGGATTGTGATGGGGACCGGGGTGGGGGGAGGACAGGGTCTGTTCCTCTCACAAAACGCGTATGCCCAGCTTCCCTGCTGCTGTCCCCTCTGCCCTCCATAGCTCCCACTTCTGCCACCATTCCGTGCTGTGGGGACACCATGGCTCCAGAGGAAGATGCTGGAGCGGAAGCCCTAGGGGGCAGTTTCTGGGAGGTGAGCAGCTGCAGCCCTGAAATGTCTCCCCACGGTCAGCCCCAGCCCGCTTCTCCCCATGACGCCACCCTCCTCATGTGGGCCCCAGGCTGGTAACTACAGGCGGACGGTGCAGCGCGTGGAGGACGGGCATCGGCTGTGTGGGGATCTGGTCAGCTGCTTCCAGGAGCGCGCCCGCATCGAGAAGGCCTATGCCCAGCAGCTGGCCGACTGGGCCCGCAAGTGGAGGGGCGCCGTGGAGAAGGGTGAGCTGGCGATGGTGGGGGCACCAGGGCCGCATCTCTGGGCGCCTTTGGTGGGAAGTGAGGCTCCCACACTCGCAGCCCGTCGCTGAGGGCCAATTTTTCATGTGCCAGTGCCCCACCGAGTTACTCTGATCTTTCTAACAAGGCCGTGGGGCAGATGGTTACCGGGCTCCGCTAAGTGGAAGCTCGCTCGGGGGTTCACTCTCAGGCCTGTCAGAAGAAAGGCCTGGTGATCTGCTTCCCAAAACTTAGCCCTTGAAACCCTGTGGAGCCCGGCTCTGCTCCGCTCGGACACACAAGGTGCATGTCGCAATTGACCTGAGGCAACTTCTTTTTTTTTCTTTCCAAATGTAATCAATGCTGTGATGGAGATGGGGCCTTGGTGGTGCAATGGTGGGCCGGTCGAGGACGGCTTTCTAGGCCCGTAAACAGTCTCGGAAAACTCTGTCCTGCGGGGTCACCATGAGTCCGTATAGACTCAAAGGCAGTGCATTTGCTTTGTTTTGCTGTTTTGATGGAAATAAGGAGCTCTGGTGGCTCAGGAGTTAAAAACTCCCTGCCATGGAGTCAGTCCTTGACCCCTAGGTGTGTGCCGCCACCACCAGGGCTCATCTGAGCCACAGGGTTGGTGGTTTAACCCGCCAGCTGATCCGTGGGCATGCTTTAAAGTGGGCAAGCCAATTCCTTCTCCATCCGTCCTTCCCAGTCTGGAAGCTCTGCCAAAACCTGTTCATTCTGGTGACCCTGCTGGTATTTGTAATACTAGTGACATGGCTGCTAGCGGTACAGCAGCCCTCCAGCCACCACAGTAGGGACAAACTGACAGACAAGTGGTGGCTCAACCGAGTATGCAGAGATGAAACCTGAAGTTCAGGGAGGCGAGGTGCCTGGGGGCCCACAGCCAGGCAGAGCCTCGGGCAAGATCCGGGGATCTTTGTGTTTAACAAGCTGCCTTCCCAGAAGGCCCCAGTTCTCCTCGGGCTATGGAGGGAAGCGGGTTTTGAAACAGGCTTCAAACTGGTTCTTCCTAGGGCAGCCATGGCCGGGGAAGTGAAGTAAAACTGGAAGGCACCGTGTTTGTAAAATGTGGGTGAACTGGTACAATCATCAGGTTAGGAAAAATAGTTAGTTGACGCCCAGCTAGAGACAGAAGCACCCTCTTAGCAAACAAGGGCAGCATGTGTGGTGCCCACAGCTGAGTCTCTGGATTGGCCGAGGCACAAACAGGGCTGCCCTACTCGACGGTGTTGGTTGGCTGCCCCCACTTCAGCCCTGGTGATAAGTCTCTCCCACCAGGCTCCGGAAAGGGCTTACTACCCACTTGTGTTGGTCTGGGTAGACTAGAGAAACAAACCCAAGGGGACTCGTGTGTATAAGAAAGAGGTTTATATATGAGAGCAATTGAATATTGAGAACACGTCCCAGCCCAGTCCAGATCAAGTCCACAAGTCCGATATTAACCCTTACGTCCGATGCCAATCTGTAAAGTCCTCTTCAGACTCATGAAATACATGCAATGATGCTGAAAGCAGGAGGGTCACAGGGCAGTGGGTGGGAAGTCTGGTGGATCCAGTGGCATTGTAAAGTACAGGCAGGGGTCTCCGGCTCTAGAGATCTGGTTGTATCTGGGTAGGTCCATTTGGCTGAGAGAGAGAAGAGGAGGGGAGGGGAGGGTATTCAAAAATTCTCAGGAGAAAGTCATGCCCACACAGAGGCCCCATTGGTTGTATCTTGATTGACAGGCCAGACTCCACCCCTTCACTTGTAATCCTCTCAAATTGACACCAGATTATGTAACTACCACCCCACTTCTTCTCAGCCTCCCAATCGGGATTTTCCCTTTCTTGTTATCCTTCCACTCTGCCCAAAGCTTTGAAGCCTCAGGCCTGTTCATTTTGATTCCACATTGGCGGCCATGTCTGAACCAGCTGCAAGACCCCTAGGGGCAGCTGGAGGGCGTTGGGTAAGTGGACGTCCCTTCAGTGAGCCCTAGTTTCTTGCCCATCAGAAGTTGGTAATGACGCTGTGCTGCTGCTGTTGCCCAGGCCTGGCCCCTGAGTAGCTAGCCCCTGATATCAGGGCGGGCCGGGCACCATCAGTTCAGCGCTGCCCCGCTCCGCAGGCCCCCAGTATGGCACGCTGGAGAAGGCCTGGCATGCCTTCTTCACGGCGGCCGAGCGGCTGAGCGCGCTGCACCTGGAGGTGCGGGAGAAGCTGCAGGGGCCTGACAGCGAGCGCATTCGCAGCTGGCAGCGGGGCGCCTTCCACAGGCCCGTCCTGGGCGGGTTCCGGGAGAGTCGGGCTGCGGAGGACAGCTTCCGAAAGGCCCAGAAGCCCTGGCTCAAGCGGCTGAAGGAGGTGAGCCTGGGTGACGGGGGGAGGGCCTTGGAGGGGCGCCTTCCCCGGGCGGCACGGGGTGGGCAGGGCCCAGAGCCGTCCCGTGTGTGCTGCGCCAGGTGGAGGCGTCCAAGAAGAGCTACCACGCGGCGCGCAAGGACGAGAAGACAGCGCAGACGCGGGAGAGCCACTCGAAGGCGGACAGTGCGGTGTCCCAGGAGCAGCTGCGTAAGCTGCAGGAGCGCGTGGAGCGCTGCGCCAAGGAGGCCGAGAAGGTACCCGCCCCGTCCGCCCCGGCTTCCCGAGCTCGTCCCTGCCACCTGCCCGCCAATGTCAGCCCATCGAACGCAGTGCAGTGACCCTCGGAGAACCGTCCCATCAGGTGTCCATGGCCGGAGCTCCTTTAAGGGGAGCCCCACCACCTGCTCTAAGGGAGAGCTTCCTGCACCTCCAAACCAAACCATTTCTGTCTCGGGAACTCACCTGGGCGGTTCGACCCTGCCCTCGAAGGTCGCTAGGAGCTGGCACCGTGGCACGGCCAGGCCTCGGGGGTCCTTTCTTCTTGGTCTGCCTTTTGCAGCAGCAGAGCAGACATCAAACCGATCTGCCGTTTCTCCGGGTGGCGACGCCATTCGTTCCTGATTGCCCCTACGTGAGGACATCAATGCCCTGCCCCATAACCCTTCCGGTCACTGTTGTCAGTTTGACCCCAGAGAGAGAGAGAGAGAGGAAAGCGAGCACCAACGAGCATTCCCGCTCGTGGCAGGCCTTCCCACTGAGTCAACTGTCCATTTCCAAAACTCTGTCACCCTTCTCAGAAGCTCAATGTCCCTAGAGCAAAGGGCCCCCCTCTGCCCCACTCCTGCTGCGCTGATGACCGCGAATGGGCACGTGTCTATTAGAATGCTTCCCAGGGATTCAGTGCCCCGACCTGATTTGTGTAAACCCTCCCCTCTCTCTAGGGAACCCTGGAAAGGAAGAACCTGAGCAGAGATGATGGTTCCCTCCCAGGGAGGGCAAGGGGGCGATGTTAGGCAAGCTGTCGGGGGAGATTTTAGCCAGGGGTGTGTGTGTGGGTGGAGGTTTTAGCCAGGGAGCAGCCCCTGCCAGCTCACGCCTTCCACAGTGGGTGGAGTTTCCACATACCTGCTCTGCCCTTTCCTCCAACTCTGTACTTGCAAATCCACCCCTCCTCTGAGAGCGGCTCAGTTTCTACCGCCTCCAGGAAGCCTTCCTGATTTCCCTCCCCATCGGGTTGGCCCAGTTTCACCCTCGCCAGACCCTGGTAGAACATCACCACCCTCATGAGGCTGTTGGGGTCCTGGAGGGCAGGGGCCGGGGCGAGTTGGGCAGAGCGGAGCTCAGTGACTATCGAGGGGGCCCCGGGTGGTAGGAGGCTTCCTCACCAGGCCCGTGCCCCTCACACGCAGACGAAAGCCCAGTACGAGCAGACGCTGGCTGAGCTGCAGCGCTACACCCCTCGCTACATGGAGGACATGGAGCAGGCCTTTGAGGCCTGCCAGGCAGCCGAGCGCCAGCGGTTACTCTTCTTCAAGGACATCCTGCTCACCCTCCACCAGCACCTGGACCTGTCCAGCAGCGAGAGGTGTGGCCTGCAAGGGCGGGTGGAGCCTCCCTCATCTCCCCGCTGTGCTTCCCCTGATGATTGTGGGAGTGCTCGCCCTGCACTGAGGGCTGTGCTTCGGGCCGCAGGTTCCAGGAGCTATACCGAGACCTGCACCAGGGTGTCGAGGCAGCCAGCGACGCAGAGGACCTACGCTGGTGGCGCAGCACCCAGGGGCCCGGCATGGCCATGAACTGGCCGCAGTTCGAGGCACGTGATCCAGGCTCTGGAGGGAGGCAGGGCTGGGGCTGGCAGAAGGTGTCCTGGGGTTGGGCGGCTCCTGGTGATCCTGGCTGACTGTCCCTTGGCACTGCCCCTGCAGGAGTGGTCCTTGGACACACAGAGGACAATCAGCCGTAAAGAGAAAGGAGGCCGGAGCCCCGATGAGGTCACTCTGACTAGCATCATGCCCACAAGAGATGGCGCTGCACCCCCACCCCAGTCTCCAGGGTCCCCGAGGTGAGTGCCTGGCACTCGGCTGTAGGAAAGAAACAGCTCTGTCCCACTCTCCTGCCCCACCCTTCCTATCTCTGCCTCCCTCACGCCTTCCCCTTCACGCCTGACCCAAACCTACTGCCCCGGGGTCAAGTCTGGCTAGGCACCCTCTTGAGGTTCCCACTGGGGCCAGGAACCGTAGGGCTTGTTTGCTGGGGCCCTGTGATGCTGGGGCACTGCCCCACGGGGTTTCCTAGACTGATCTTCACAGGAGTCCATTCCCGAGTCTTTTACAGCACGGCTGAGTGCTCTACCCGCTGTGCCACCAGCAGGCTTAGGGCCTGACCAGGCTTTGTCACTGTAATAGATCTAGTGTTCAGTGTGGTTTCTATTTGCTAGGTATTTTCTGAGGGCCCTCTCACTACCTCCTCGGATCGGCTCTCTGGGGCCTGAATCACCCTAGTGCAGCCCTGGGTGGCCCCAGTAGGGCTGGAGTCTTGCGGCTCCTCCCCACCCACCTCTGCCCAAGTCCTGGATCTCTAGGCCCACAGCCTTTCTGACCCCTCCACCTGCCTCCCTCTGACAGCAGCCGGCAGGATGAGGACTGGTCAGATGAGGAGAGCCCCCGGAAGACCGCCACTGGGGTACGAGTACGGGCCCTGTATGATTACGCTGGCCAGGAAGCTGATGAGCTGAGCTTCCGAGCAGGTATTCTGGGACCCTGTTCCTGTTCCTTTCCAGCCTTGCATTCCCTGATACAAGGCTGAGCCTGATTGGGGATGGGGGTGGGTGCGGGGCAGGCCCCCTGCTTCTCCAAGCCCAGTTCTCTGACTCTGGGCCCCAGTCTCCTTTGAGTCCTGGCTAGGGCCGGATGGATGTCTCTGGCAGGGTCTGGCTGGGGTGACTTGCTGACTTCTGCCGCCCTCTGGCTGAGTTGGGTCCTCTTCTCCCCTGGCTCTGGCCCTGCCCCTTCCCGCTCAGTCCTTGACCCAGTTGCAGGGATAGGGGCTCAGCCAGGGCAGTTGGCAGTGACCGGTCCCTCTTCTTCCAGGGGAGGAGCTGCTGAAGATGAGCGAAGAGGATGAGCAGGGCTGGTGCCAAGGCCAGCTGCAGAGTGGCCGCACCGGCCTGTACCCTGCCAACTATGTCGAGTGTGTGGGGGCTTGACCTGCCCCGACAGCCTTCCTGCACCCTGGGCCTGTGCCCAGCTTCTCCTGGACAGCCAGCGTGCCCCTGCCGCCCCTCTGTCCCCCTCAGGGGACAGAATCCTGGGACTTGGAGGGGAGGGGCCTGGGTCTGGGAAGAGACTGGTGGAGAATGCACAACTTGAGTCTAGGCTGAGGGCAAGAAGGGGGAGCTCAGGTGAGATGGCTTGGGTGCCTGGGCCTCCCCAGGGGCTGTGGACCCAGTTTATGGCCTGTGTTTTGGTGTCCCTGGGTGGGCTTGGGGTGAGTAGTTCTGGGCTAGCAGCACCCTCTGTTGTGGCTTGTTTCAGTGTGTATTAAACTTGGAAAGAAAAAACCAAAACGCCATCAGGCTGGTGTGCACCCTTTCCATCCTCCTCCCACTCTTGCCGAGCCTCCAGTGGGAACCTGGAGCCAGGCCCGGTGGAAGGTCGTGGATCTGCAGTACGTTGGGTGGGGATCAGGAAGGGCCTGCCAGCTGGGAGCTGCCCTTTGGACCGCTGGGACCCCAGCCTGGGGCGGGAGGGGCGATCAGCCATGGCTCGAAGCTGGGTCTGAAACTTCTGCGCTGGGCGGGAGCTGAGCCTTCTGCCCGTTCAGGCCGGTCGGACAACCAGCGCTTGGTAGCACGTTAATTATTACTCATCAATCGGTAACTGGCCGAATGCTAGCGTCTCCCAACGCCACGAGCCCCGCCTAGTGGGTGGCGGCCCCGCCTTGTGGGCGGGCTGCGAGCGCGGCTGCGCGCGAGCGCGGAGGTTTGGGCCAACCCGCGAGCCGTCGCTCCGCCCTGGTCCGGGATTGGCTGCGGCGCGGCGCGGCGTTTGTTCAGGTGACCACTGGGGGCGGGCGGCGGCTGACGTCCCGTTCCTGTTCCGCCGGCTGCTGATTGGTCCGCGTCGGGCCCACACGGAACCGCCCTCCGGTTGCCAGGGGCAGGTCGGAGGCCCGCCCACCTCCTAGGCCAAGATTGGCCCGCGACGGGACCCGTCGGTCGCGGTTGTGTCTGGGAAGGAGAGAACATGGCGGCGGAGCCGAGCAAGACCGAAATTCAGACTCTTTTTAAGAGGCTTCGTGCGGTTCCCACCAACAAGGTGCCTGAGTGGGAGGCGCGCGGGGGCCTGAGGGCGGAGAGAGGCGGGGGCGGGCTGTTCTCTTGGCTGGCAGGCTGCGCCGGCCTCGACCCGGGGCCGCTGACCGTTTGCCCGTCGCCGCCTCCGCAGGCCTGCTTCGACTGCAGCGCTAAGAACCCGAGTTGGGCCAGCGTCACGTATGGTGTTTTCTTGTGCATCGACTGCTCCGGCGTCCACCGCTCGCTGGGCGTCCATCTCAGCTTCATCAGGTGGGGTCGCCTTCCAGCGCCCGGGGCCGGCCGAGGCTCGGGCCAGCCGGGGAGACGGGCAGCCACGACTGGGGTCGCCCCGAGTTCGGCGCGGGCCCGCCGCGGCCCGGGTGTCCGCTGCCTCGCTCCGTCTGTGCGGGGCTCGAAACTCCGGTGTCATGATTCCCTGGAGGCCAGGCTGGGCGGGCGCTCCGAGCGTGTCGCTGGGGTCAGGGGGGTAGCTCCTTTGACCGCGGGGGTAATGACCTGTTGATCGAGTGTGTGACGAGTAAAGTGACACACTTTACTTAAAGGGAACGCCAGATCCCAGTAAGAGTGTGTGTGTAAGTGTAAGTAACCGGGGAGATAATTAGTACCTCTTTGAATAATGAATGGACAGAGGCGCAAAACTTTTGTGACCTGGAAGCAGAGGAAATGAGGAGGGGGGCTGAGGGATGTTTCCTGGGTGTGACAGCCGCTGGAAGCCAAGTGATTGTTGTGAGTCTTGGGTGGGGGTTGGGGTGGGGGAGAGACTGCCCTCCGGGTGTGCCCGTGGGTGACCTGCAGCCCTTGCCCACAGGTCCACAGAGTTGGATTTCACCTGGAGCTGGCTCCAGCTGAGGTGTATGCAGGTCGGCGGCAATGCCAATGCGGTAAAGCCTCTTCTGCGACCCCTTCCTATTCTGCCAGGACTCCTCCTGCGCCCAGCCTTGTAGGAGGCCCTCTCCGTTCCCTGATCAAACATGCACCTCTGAACCTGCAACCTGGGCCCGGTTCTTCAGATTCAGGCCAAACTGGACAGGCATTCATAGGGACAGGCCAAGGGCACAGGGGGTCCAAGGTTTTGTGGGGGAAGGGTGGGCAGAGCGGGCTTGGGTGCTGTCACATCAGGATTTTTGAAGAGCTGACTCCCCTGTAAAACATGGTGTCGTCCTTGGAGGCATAAGCCCCTGGTAGCATGCCCATCCCTCGCCTTTGCTCTGCAGACTGCTTTCTTCCGCCAACATGGGTGCACAGCCAACGATGCCAACACCAAGTATAACAGCCGGGCTGCCCAAATGTACCGGGAGAAGATCCGGCAGATGGGGAGTGCTGCCCTGGCCAGGCACGGCACTGACGTAAGGGCTTGTTGCCAGCAGCGGGAGCAGTGGGGGCTGGGGGCGGTGCTGGGTGCTCAGAGCCTTGGGTTCCAGGCCTGCTTTCCCTTCTAGCTCTGGATAGATAATGTGAGCAGTGCACCCAGTCATTCTCCAGAGAAGGACTCGGATTTCTTCACAGAACATATCCAAGTGAGTGGTCACAGGGAATGTGCCCCCTGCCTCTTGTGAAGGGGTCCACAGTTTGACTTCTAAGGAATGAGCCTTTATAAACTGAAGATGGGTGGGGTGGGGAGAAGCTTCTAGAAGGCCCATGTGGTATCCATTGTTTCCTGGCTCCCTCCCTTACTTGGAAGGCACTGGGAAACAAGAGGATTCATTCCCGCCTGGTGTCCACCCCTGGCTGGGCCCGGACATTGCAAACTCAGGGTGAGCCCCTGCTCCTTTACTGAGCGTCTCTGAGGTTGGCCAGGTTGCTCAGTCCCACTGAAGTAGAGGTCTTTCCACTGCAGCATTTACTCCCATAGCTTGTGTTTGTATGTGGAAGCTCTCTGGCTTAGGCTTGGACCTGGTTAAAAACGCACTGCCACCAGATTGATTCTGATTGGTAGCAACCCTTTTTGGGATTTCAAGGTGGTAAATATTTATGGGAGCAGACAGCTTCAACCCCCCACCCCATGAGTGACTGGTGGGTTTGAACCACCACTTTGTAGGTAGCAGGCCAACCCTGTACTGATGATATCAGCACCTAGGTACATGGTTTGAGTCTGGTAATTGTTGACTAGTGGAGGGGTGGGGAGGGTTGCTGCGTTTTTCTGTGGCCCCTGCTAACCTCTATCAAGTCTCTCCCCCTGGGCTGGAGCAGGGCCTTGCACCCGCAGGTACTTGCAGGTGCTCAGTGCTCTTTGACAGCAGGGGTGCTCATTGAGGCATCTGGGATCTGGCTTCCTTTTCAGCCCCCTGCCTGGGATGGCCAAGCCTCCGAACCTGCAGAGACCCAGCAGCTAGCCCCGCCTGCAGCGAGCAGTGGCCTGACACGTGAGTTCAACCTAGATTCCTGCCAGGTGTCCTGGCTGTGGGGACTTGGCTCAGGGAATAGGAGCGGGGTCTCCTAGCTCTCCGGGTGGGCATTTCTTTTGTCTTTTGGCAGCCTCAGCAAGCTGAGTAAAGCCAGTGCCCGCTCTGTGGTCCCCTCGAGTCCCTGAGTGGGCTCATAGCTAACTCCCACCATTGCACCCACAGAACCGGAGCATGGACCTAACACAGACCTGCTGGCCACCTCACCCAAAGCTCCCCTGGGTGCGTATGCTAGCTGGTGCTTGGGACTAGGCTGGGAGGGCGTAGGTTTGCTGCTGCCTGAGGCCACCAGAGACTGAGCGTCTGACCCCCGGAGCGGGGTGTGGTGGAAGTGGGGCTGCAGCACTGAGCACAGTACCCAGAGCTGGGTCTCTGTGCTGGTGAACAGAGTGTGCTGCCGTGGGAGCCAGGTCTTAGGGCTGCTCTGGCCTAAGTCAGGAAGCCTTCAGGGGCTGAGGCAGGGCTGACCCATAGGTCAGCTGAGCTCCGCCCTCCTGCAGTCTGAGGCCTGTCCTGTACCCTTCCTCTTCCCTTGGTGTGGACGGGGCCCTGGGCACACGATCTGCCCACACCTCCATGTGGTTGGGGCAGGAAGCCAGCAGAATGACTCAGTGGATGCCGCGGGAGGCTACGGTGACTTGGCTGGGAGTTGGGCCATGGAGAGGCCCATGGGATAACTTTAGTCGTGGGCTTGGGAACTGGATGGCGGCACTGGGGCAGGCTCTTAGTTGGTCACAAGTCTGTCTTTCCCCTAGAGTCCATGTTTCTGTCAACTCCAGGGGCCCGTCCTACCAGAGGTAGGACAGCCTGGCCCCTTGCTCGCCAGCTCCTCACTCTGTCACTGAGGTGCTTGTGTGATGCCCGTCCCCGCCTAGCAGGCTTCATGGGGGCTCTGGGTCCCTGATTGGCTCTGGTGCTGCAGGTCTGGGCTCCTGTCACTCGGCTGGGACTCAGAAAACTTGCCCCTCTCCCCCCAGACCTATCTCTGGCAGAGACTGTCCCGGATGGAGTGGGTGCTGGCAGCTTTGCCTTCCCTGCCTGAAGCTGATCTTTCTAGAAACTCTTGTGAGACTGCACGGTGTGGACAGACTGGCTGGTCACTGTCTTCCTGTGCCTTCACTCATGCCTGTCTTTCTCCCACAGAACTGAAGTCCTCTATCATTGGCAAGAAGAAGCCGGCAGTGGCGAAGAAAGGGGTAGGTGGTGGTGGTGGGGTCAGGCCGTTTGGGTTCACCCCTTGTTTCTACCCGTTAACTGGCTGCACGACTTCTGTCTTGGCACCATGGCTCTGGGGCTGAAAAGGTGCTGTTCCTCTCCTGGGACGAGGTGCAGCAGAGTGCTCAGCTGAGGGCCTGCCCGGGTGGGTACCAGGCCGAAGCCTATGAGCCGCCCTGCCATCTACAGGCTGTGCCGGCCCAGCTCTCCTGTGGCCATGCTGGCTGGGCTCCTGGCAGGTGTGGCTTAGTGCCTGGCTGATCACCTGATCTCCCTCCCAGCTTGGGGCCAAGCGAGGTCTTGGGGCCCAGAAGGTGAGCAGCCAGAGCTTCAGTGAGATTGAGCGGCAGGCGCAGGTGGCCGAGAAGCTCCGGGAGCAGCAGGCGGCCGACGCCAAGCAGCAGGCTGAGGAGTCCATGTGAGTGTGTGCCCCCGAGCCTCAGCTCGCGTGTGGCTTGGCTTGCCAGGGGGGCGCTGAGGACAAGCAGTCTGGGTGGGCACCGCCTCTGATGCGTCTGTCCCCTCCAAGGGTGGCCTCCATGCGCCTTGCCTACCAGGAGCTCCAGCTCGATCGGAAGGAGAAGGAGAAGCAGCTCCAGAGCCTGGAGGGGAAGAAGCGCGAGCAGGCCGAGAGGCTGGGCATGGGCTTGGTGTCCCGGAGGTGAGGCGCGGCCACGGGCTTCTCGAGGGAGGCGAGGACAGTGTCTTGCTGGGCACTGTCAGGCGCTCCCTAGTCCCGGTGTGTGCTCAGTACATGGAGCAGTGCTGGCCAGCAGGTCTTTCTGAATTCAGGGTGGCCTTTCTTAAATGGAGGTGCTAACAGTACCATGAATGGGATCACTCTTCATTTTTCAAGGCCTCCTTTAGAGTTGCATTTGAGCTGCCATCCACAAGGTCAGCAGTTCAAAACCAACTGCTCCCCAGAAGAAAGATGAGGCTTTCTACTCCCGTAAAACCATTTCGGAAACTCACAGGGGCATTTCTCCCGTCTTGTTGGCAGTGAGCTTGGTTTTGGAATCCTTAACTATATGCCACCAGTGGTGGAAGACACTGGGACATACCACGCAGTCCACAGGTCAGGTGCTCTTGGGTTGACAGTCTGGCCTTAGGTAGATAAACAGGTTGCTGCCTGTAGTTCCGTGCTGCGTGCTGTCTGCCACAAGAGTACAACGTGTCCATCTGCTCCTGAGAAAACTGCCGCCAGACCAGGGCCTAGTGCCGGCAGCCGGCCTCCAGGCTCGGAAGCATTTTGGCTTTAACAGCCATCCAACTCAAAACTCATTGTCATCCAGTCCTTTCGGACTCACAGCCACCTTACAGTTTCCAGGGTGTAACTTTTTCCAGGAGTAGAAAGGACCGTCTTTCCCTGGAGCAACGGGTGCTTTCAGACTGCTGACCTTGTGGTTAGCAGCCCAGCATGTAAGGGGTAGGCCACCAGGGCTCCTGACAAGCGGCCCTGAGCAGGGTGATTCAGACTGCTCCTTGGCTGCCCCTGGTTGGGGCATCTTTCACCTGGGCCTCTGGATGTGGTGCGGGTCTGAGTGAAGGTTTGGCTCATAGTGTACAGTGGCTGGTGTAGGAGGACAGCTCTGTCCCCTGGTGGCAGCGGGCTGGGGTCCTCTACCAGGGTGCTGCTTTGAGTAGCCCACGCTGCTGTATTGACCGTGCTTGGGTCTGGTCACCTCCAGCCATTGTAGGCATTGATGCATCAGAGCCTGCAGGTCCCTGTGGAGGTACCTTCCGCAGCCGGTGTCTTCTTGCGGGCATAGGCTCAGGCTGGACTCTGCTTTGCCCGCAGCTCCGTCTCCCACTCAGTGCTGTCTGAGATGCAGCTGATCGAGCAGGAGACCCCAGTGAGTGCCAAGTCCTCCCGCTCGCAGCTGGACTTGTTGGACGATGTTGGCACTTTCGCTTCTGGACCCCCAAAGTAAGGCTGGTGTTGGGGAGCAAGGCTCTGCCACCATGTTCCTCCCCCTGGGTTCCCTGAGCCCCTCTTTTGTCTCCCAGGTACAAGGACAACCCTTTCTCCTTGGGGGAGAGTTTTGGTTCCCGCTGGGACACAGATGCCACCTGGGGGATGGACAGGGTGGAGGAGAAGGAGCCAGAAGTGACCATCTCCAGCATCCGGCCTGTTTCAGAAAGGTAGCGTGGGCCGGGAGGTTCTGTTCCATCCTTGGTCTCCTGAGTACTTGAGAGATTGTCCAACCAGCTGCCTTTTGAATTCAGCTTGTCCTGGGTAAGCTGGAGTGGCCCTGGTGGCTGGAGGCCACCACTGGAGGCAGGGCGGGAAGGAGGCTCTAGGATGGCCGGGCCTTGCAGACCACCACAGGAATCTGGTGGACCTGGCAGCAGCCTCTCTGCAAGGATCTGCCGCTCGGTGCCCAGGCCCCCCGGCTTCAGGCTTCAGGCTGACCTCCCCGGGGTGTTCGTCTCTAGCGTCCATCTTCTCTGTTTCAGAAAGCTTACTCCATCCTGATCCACTAGTTGACAGATTTTTGTAAATCATCCATCTGTAGAGTTGGGTGGATGACCCATCAGGAGAGCTGTACGCCGTCTCCCCACTTCGGCCCGGGACCTGCAGCGGGACTGTCACGGGGTTGCCCTAGCGTTGGGGAAGCTCTGACTAGTGGAGGTAGCAGTGGTTGACAGTACAGCACCCTGCACCCTGATATCCTTTGGCGTTCTGCCCAGGGAAAGGAGCCCGAGTCTTCTCTGTGCTTGGGGAAGGGAGGGGCTCGGCTCCCCTGGGGAGATCCTGCCTCTAGGACAGGCCACGCATGCTGGGCTGCCCCCTGGGCTTCAGGGGAAGGTCAGTCAAGGCCACTGGCTTTCCCCTCAGCTCTGCCTCCCTGGGGATGGAAACGTGAGAGACACCCTTCTCCCACCCCTCAGAGTCACCAGCCGGAGGGAGGGTGCTGGCCTCGAGTCCAGGGAGGCGAGGCAAAAGTTTGCAGGTGCCAAAGCCATCTCATCGGACATGTTCTTCGGGCGGGAGATCGATTCTGAGGTAAGTGCAGTGAGCTGTCTGCCAGAGCTGGAGGTGACGAGTCGGGGCAAGAGCCCTCCTTTGCTCCGCTGCCCCCTGCCAAATGGCACAGGGTGGCTTGGCTGGTCAGGGTCTGGTTCTCAGCCACAAGATGCCCAGGCCTGGCCTTCCCTCCCTGCAGTACGAAGCCAGGTCTCGACTCCAGCAGCTCTCAGGCAGCAGTGCCATCAGCTCTTCAGACCTCTTTGGAGAGGTGGATGGAGCCCGCGGAGCAAGTAAGGCCCCACCCTGCCCTGGTGTGTGTGAGGTGGGGGGACACTCTCTCGGCCACTGTGTCATCCTGGCCCTGCTTCCACAGGCACTGTGTCTCTGGGGAACGTTCTCCCCACAGCTGACATCGCCCAGTTTAAGCAGGGCGTCAAGTCTGTGGCTGGGAAGATGGCTGTGCTGGCCAATGGCGTGATGAACTCTTTGCAGGTGAGCCCTGGGGCTGAGGCCTTGGCCTGGGTGTGTGGCTAGAGACAGCACCTCCTCCGAGAGCTGCACCCATCTCCCATGGTCACTCCCCTCCCTCTGGGGTTGGAGCTACCCTGCCTCCCTCAGCCGCAGATCTTCACGAAGACAGTGGCTGCTTTTCCTCTCCCACCCAGGACGGCTACAGCTCCTACTGATATGTCCCAGGCCCCGGCTGTGCCAGCCAGAAGCCCAAGAGCCCCTGGCAGGGAGGCTTGCCTTGTGGAAGCTGGGAGGAAAGTTACTTTCTGTGTGTGGTGTGTGAGTGGGGCGGCCGCGGAGGATCTTGGGTGAGGGGCCTGTTCAGTGGCAGCCCTGTCCTCTGCCTGTGGCTCCAGCCCCTTGTTCTCCTGCCCTCACAGCCCCTCCCCACTGTGTGCTGAATTAGTGCCCATCCGCCCCTGCCCCCAGCGCTGCTACTCATGCCCAGTCAATGGGGGCACTCCTTGGGACACCCCACTCTGAACACTGGCTTTGTGCTGGTGTAGAGTCTTGGGGCCTCAACCCTCTTAAACCAGTAGGGGAGGCCTAGAGAGTGCTGCTGAGATGGGACCCTGGGGTGGGGGTGGGCCTTGGGCAGGGTCCTACTAAGGGCTAGAATCTCTTCCTGGTCCCCCAAAGCTTCACTGGAAGGCCCAAGCCTCTCCTGTCTCGCCTTACCCACAACTCAGCTGTGAGGGGAGGGTGACTTCTGGACCTCCTAGGTCCTCCCATCCCATCGGCTTTGGACCATAGGACCCTCTGTCCCCTGCAGAGACGTTCCAGTGCCGCTTCCACTGGTTGGTGCCTACTGGGGGCTCAACCTGCCTGTACCCCAGTTCTGGAGGCTGGGAGACCCTGTTGATCAGGCACGCAGAGGTTGGAAGGGACAGAGGCCACTCCTGGGCTTACCATTCTGCCTCAGCATGGTCCTGGGCTCAAGGGCCAGACAGCACCCCGGTGTGAGTCCATGGGCCCCACTGGCCTTTCTCCGTTAACTGGGCCATGCACTGTGTCACCCTGCCATGCCGGCAGTCCAGGCTCTACATCCCCCGCCCCCTTGGGTTGTGGGGTGGGTGTCCCAAGCAACACGGACCATTTTCCTCCCTTCCCCCCTGCTCCAAGGGACATGACTCTCTCCGGACTGTTTGTATTGCAAGAACATGGTGTTGAAATAAAGCCCTGGCGGCCTGGGGCCTGCTGATCTGAGCTGCTGCACTGTCCTCTCTGGGCCGGGGCTGGCTCACGCTGAGGACACTCTTTCCAGGGCTTCTGCTCTGTCTCTTCTCTGAAAGCCAAAGGGCTCTGGCTCGTCGGCCCTGAGCTGCCGAGAGGTCCTGTGCAGCCTCGACCTCACCACCCTGTTGCAGGCGGAGGAAAGAGCTGGTATTAGCTGGCTCTCCGCAGTCCCTGCAAGGCTGGTCTCAGGACACAGACTGACTGCATAAACTCCCTGCCGTCCAGTCAGTTCAGACTCCTCCCCCCAGAGGAGCTCCTGAAACCTCTTGGGGGGTAGGGATGGGAGCAGGGTGCAGGCTGCCGTGATCACGTGCACTCCAGCAATGAGGAGTCAGCAGTTCCTGGGGAGCCAAGCCTGAACCCCTGGAACTGACCTGTGCGCTGTGCCCAGGGTTTGAAGACGAAGTTGGGAGATGGCTGAGCCTGCAGACCTCACCTAGAGCTGTGGCAGGACCAGCTCGCCTGGGGCCCCGGAGCCCCACTGCACCCCATCTTCATAGCCCTGAGTAAGCGCAAATGTTCAAAGAGCGGCCCAGGCTGTACACAGCCAGCCCTTCTGTTGCCTGGCCCCGAACCCTTGGCCTCAGTGGTTGGGAGGCCTGTGCCAGCAGTGTCCCCTTTCCTTTGGAAACAAGGTCTACTCCTGTGTGCAGAAGCCCCTCGTTATCAGGGGCAGGTCTCCAGGCTGGTGGCCCCCTCTTGCTCCCCCCCCACCCCCCGAGTGCTGTCAGCAGAACCCCAAAATGGCCCTCTCCTTCACCCCTTCTCTTGCCCCACCTCAGGCTGGTGGTTTCACAAGGGCGCTTGGCAGACACGAGGGCCTTTATTCAGTTCACAATCAGCTGTTGGAGCCTCAAAGCAGGATTTGCAAGTGCCGTGGTCTTGCCTACCCTTCATGGTGTCCGTCCCTTCAGCAGAGGCTACAGCAGCTATGCGCTCCCCACCCTCCACCCCTAACCTGCGTGTCGGGTCCCTCCTTGACCACGCAAGGCCCTCTGTTGGCTATTCATGGTCTTCTCCCGCGCCCCC